GACAAGAGATTGTGACTTTCCAGATACGTCATCAACTCCTTTTTGATGATTTTCTCCATGACTTTGCAGCAGATTGATGTCAGACTGACGGGTCTGTAGTTCGTTGCAAGAGCACGACCACCGCTTTTGTAAAGGGGTGTGATGTGGGCCGTCTTCCAGTCTGTGGGAAGGATTCCAGCATCGAACGATTCCTGGCACAGAAAGGATAGTGGTTTGGCCAGCTCTCGGGCAAGCTCGAAAAGCAGCTTTGCTGGAATCTCGTCCGGACCGGGAGATTTACATTCCTTCAAACTTTTTAGTTCTTCCAAAATCGTTGATTCTCGAAACACGACATCTTCGATAGTGGGATCTCCCATGTTCTCGGAACTAGTGGGAATAAAGTCTGTTTCTCTTGTGAAAACGGACTGGAAAAATTGAGAAAAGTGCTCAGCTTTATTTTTACTGTCCGATATCTCCAAACCGTCATCATTCCTCATGACAGGAATGGGATTCCTGTTACGTGTGCTCTTCCGCAAATAGCTGTAGAGCAATTTCGGATTTTTAATGGCTCGATGAAGCAAATTACTCTCAAAATCCCGTCGCCTCTTGAAAATCAGGCTTTTCACCTTATTTCTTTGAACTTTATATTCCGCAAACGCTGCAATGTTGTTGTTTTCCCGAAATTTCTTCCACAATCTTCCTTTCTTATTGATCTCCTTTTTTAGTTCTCGCGTTAGCCACTGAGGGCTCTTCATTAGATGCAATAACCAACCCTTAAATAAATTCCAGTCTTCGTTAACGCTTCCGGAGAAGAGAACATCCCAGTCTATTTGTGATGCCTCCGCTCTCATTTGGCAAAAGTCTCCTTTCCATACATTCGGCCTGGTATCGTTTTTTGTATACCGTTCGGAATACAGTTCGTACTCCCATAAAAGTACTACATGATCACTTCGACCGAGCGGGGATAGGTAGTATACCTCGTCTATACTGTCAGGATCTTTGGTGAAGACGAGGTCCAGACAACTAGCCTGTTGCCCTCCACGTGCTCTAGTTGGAGGTAGGACACGTTGCGTGAGAAGAGCTTCTAGGGTTGTCTTTAGTAGACGGTAATCGAAGGCATTCTTCGAGCACTTCGCATGCATATCGTTCCATTGAATGCAGGGTGCATTAAAATCCCCCATGAGAACAACGTCTGGTCGACTGGCGATCTCTTTTATGCTTTCCAGTAGACGAGTGTCTGAATCGGGATCTGCCTGAGGGGTCCGGTAGATAGTTACGACTTCGAGGGACTGAGACCCCCGTGCCTTTATAGTCAGCCAAATTGCCTCTGTGTCGTTAGAAATCTTGTCCGTCCTCTCACACACTGTTAAGTTGCTTTTGACATACATGGCAACTCCTCCACCCCGGCGGCCTCTCCTATCTCTCCTAAACAATTGGTATCCTCTTATTGCTACTTCGCAATCACCCACGTTCTCTGACAGCCACGTTTCTGTTATTGCTATAACATCCGGAGGAGTATCGGCTACCTGTATTCTCAGTTCATCAAGCTTCGAAAACAGACTCTGAGCATTGGTGTAAAAGAATTTAATTTTGCAACATTCGACAGTATTTCGTTCGTTTTGTCTCCGGCCTGAAAATATTACGTTGCTGCCGCCATCATGATGACTGGCTGGTTCCAAAGCAACATCGCATTCCTCTGTATCACTCGTCCCCTGAAAATAACCAAGTTGCTCTCTCCTGCTGCAAGTCTCCTCTTCAGCTCCGTCACTAATTCGCGGCGTTTCAGACGTTCCGCTGGAGAATAGTCCGGTTGAAAAAAAACTTCCTTGTGAGAGTTTCGGAGGCAGCTTTTCCTGGACAGAAGCAAGCTAGCCTCCTCTTTACTGCCCAAAACGATTTTCAGAGGTCGTGGCCGCGCAGTTTCCGATTGTTCGCTCACCTTCTTTCCGATCCTGAAGGCTGCGTGAATAGTTACCCTTTCATTCGAATTAAGCATTTTGTTCAGAAGGTGTTGAAGCATATCGAGGTCAGCGGAAATCCTCTCCTTCGGTGTAGGAGCATTCGACTCCGATAGGCCCTGAACGACTAAGCAGTGCTGACGATCCAGGGGTTCATTTGTTCTGTTTCCGGCGACCTTGTCAGCTGAAGGTCTCAGGAGATCCACCGGAGTCGTCTGGGGTTTTATACTCCTGTTGTGGTGCTTACCCATCCCATCTTGCCACGAGCTTGTTTCCTCACTTCCAACCGAGGGTACTACTGAACACGCGGAATGGCTGAGAGAAGTTGAGGGTTCGCTTCGGTTGTCTTCCGTAGAAACAGGAGACTCCGTTGCTATTTGCCCATCGTCATTAGTATCGGCGTCCTTGCACTGAGGTTTTCCACAAACCTTGTTCTTTGGCTGTTTTGGAGTTCTGCTCTTCCCCTTTTTCTTGCTGACTGTAGCGCTATTAACCGCGTTTTGCCTACCATCATTCGCTTGCACGAGTTCCTTTAAAGCCGCCAGCTCTTTTTCAAGGTTTTCGACTCTCAGCATAATATAGGAGCACCTTGGTTTAGTAGTTCGACTAGTTCATTAGCGTTATATTGCTTTCACAGTTTGATTCTGTTACATTCCCTCTTTAACTTATTGGCTAACAACCCGGACTTCCTGATCGCCCTTGCACTTGTTAATGGACATTTATCTCTAATAAACTGCGGCAGCGGCGGCAGTTTGCGCCTGGCTCACGCCTACCGTTAACCTTGGAATTTCCGCATTTGCTGATGTAATAATTGAGTTTATTTCTGTTTCTCGATATGAATAGAGAGCTCAATGGCGGAAGCCTCTTTCCCTTAATAAACTGACTTATTGAAATTTAGAAGCCATTTCTTCGACCACGCTTGCAGTCGATGAAGATTATTTTGAAGTGATCTCTAATCATTCGGACCCTTGATGACCTGCCAGAGCTTAACATCGTCTGCAAACATTATTTTGCCGCAGTCGAGTTCCTGAAGGCTGTCATTAACATAAAGGATGAAGAGTAATGGTCCCAGAACTGAGCCTTGAGGCACACCGCTGGTCACATTCACCCATTCTGACATATCATCCCGATACAGACACGTTGTTTCCGACCAAATAGGAACGCCCTTATCCAGTCCAGAAGATCCCCCGGATGCCGATGGCGCTCAATTTGTGAAGGGCGTTGGTGTGGAACAGTATCGAAAGCTTTGCGGAAATCAATGTGCACGACATCGACCTCAAAACCCTCTTCTAGAGGCCTGGTCCAGATCTCCAGACAAGTAAGCAGATTTGAGAGGCAATAACGTTCTCTTCGGAAGCCATGCTGAAAATCCTGCAAGATGTTACTTTCTTCACAAAATTGTTGTATAGCGCTCGTTACTAGAGCTTCCATCGTTTTGCATGGGAACCGAGTTAAGCTTGTTGGCCTGAAGATGCTGGCTGTCATCCTGCTGCCTCCCTTATATAAGGGAACGAGGTTAGCTGTCTTCCACTGCAATGGCAGCCTTCCTGTTCTCATTGACAGCTCAAGGAGAGTCGAAAGAGGCTTTGTCAGCCCTGCTGATAGCTCCTTAAGTAGCAGACCAGAAATGCCGTCGGGTCTAGGAGACTTAGCTGGTTTTATTTGACTGAGGACGCGTCTTACTCCTTCGGCGGAAAAGGCAACGGTTTCAATGATGGCAGTATCTTGGCGCCTTTGAAGCTACCGGCTGTTCTTACATGCTATGATAGGACCCCACGGGTCCTGTATAAAAATTACTATTATTTCAAACTTCTGACTGAAAAAAACAGAGACAGTAATTGCACTTTCTGTGGCCTTTCAACTAATAAGTTTCCGAGGCTACCCTTTAGACAGGGAATTTCGTCCCTATGTTTTCTCCTTCTGCGGATGTACCTCTAAACCTACTTGGGGCACGCAATTGATTCTGCTATTAGTTGCGCTAATCCTTATATTCGGCGAATGACATTGGATCTCGAAGATGCAAATACTTTAATCTGACTTATCTGATTTTAACACTAGGCCAGACTTGATTTGCCTCGCACGGGAACGGGATGGATTTGACGCAGTTTGATTAACTAAGTCATTATTTTGATCCACGGAGGTCGATTACGACTCTAGGTCTAGTTCATATTTTACTGCTATGATCCAACGGCCTGGTAAAAATGGGAGCAGCATTCGAGCAATTGTCGCTTCTTGGAGATGTTTTGAAAGTGCAGGATTTCAAATGAACAAAAGATAATGTACTCAGATGAAGAGCTAGGTGCAACAAGGGTAGCCGCAGATACGGGAAAAAGTCGGCTGACACCAGATGAATGATCTACCCGAGAAACAAATTGCAGATGATTAGCATTATGGGATGTCTGGAGGTTGGCTAATGAGGGGGAAAGACTGCGTTGCATTTCAATTCTATTTCGACCAATATAAGGGTTACTTCCTCTACTATATTGAGCCGGACGATCCAAATAGGATGAAATTAAGTCCAATTCAATTCAATTCAATTCAATTATTTTTATTAAAGACCCGTCGGGGTCCCATCAAAGCTAGTAAAAATAAATTTACATGCGAATTTTAGACGAGGTAGGCAAAATCTGTACAAAGTGCAATACATAGTTTTTGAGATTAGGAGTCCGTTAAGCAAAATGAAAAAAAGAGGGATGAAAAAAAACTCCATAGCAAAATTTAAAAATGATTGTATTAATTTAACAGGAGAAAAAAATCCCTCAAAAATAGCATCAGAAAAATGCAGGGAGGACTGGCCTGCATGTGGCGGTATAGAATGGAATATAGTCGGACATCAACATGGCCGAAATAAATGTCAGCTGTATATGACATTGTGTAACGGATTTCATAAAATGGTACGTAGGCGGGTCGGTCAGGACTGGCCTGTATGTGGCCTTGAATAAGATAAATAAGTGGCGAAATGGAAAACCAGTCTCCAGCTCATAGGAATCCAGATGCGGTCGGTTTCATTCAACCGAGTCCATCCGAGGATAGGGCAAAGAAGACGCAAACAGATTACTAGTAAATGGCGAATATAGAAGGCTTTGTCAAGATCGCCGATGGTGCGCATTCTGTAAGGGCACGATAACAACCAATCTCGAGGCGATAGGAACCCAGATGCGGTCGGTTACATTTATCCGAATCCAACCGAGGATGAGGTAATGGAGATGCGACCAGACTACTAGTATATGGCGAATACAGAAGGTTTCGCCAAGAGCATCGATGGTGCGCATTCTGTGAGGGCACGATGCATGAACTGAAAAATATGAATAATTAACATTTCTGGTGAGGGATCTTAGGTAGCGAGACTACTCATAAAGGAAGGAAACGTGAACAGATACGGAAATTTAATGGCGGCATGCTAAATTCCCGGCGGCCCTTTCTCAGTGCCATAGAAAAAGTTGTCTGGGAAGGATGAGGAAAATAAAAGTTTAATGGAGTCAGTATTCAGATAAAGGCGTAGCCTTCTCTTAAAGGTGTGTAGATATTCTGAAGATATTATATTTATTGGAAGGCTATTCCAGAGGAAAGTATACCTGGAAGCGAAAAAAGGGAGCGCTTAGAGGTGGAGGACGCTGGAAGAGGTATAATTAGAGACGAATTGCGAAGATTGTATGGGCGCTTACTAGGGGTAAGTGTGGAAATCCGAGGAAAATTTGGACTATGATTAATGCGAAAGAGGAGACAGAAGCCCGCTTCTAGTCTTCGAACCCATAAAAATTCTAGGTCATTTGCTGGCATCTATCTGAGTAGGAGATATTGGGATGTTCCCTATCTAAAAGTTTTTTTAGAAAAACGTCTTTGGACATTTTTAGTTTTTAAACGACTGGCTTCATTCATAAAACCAAAGAATGCGCAACAATACTCGGGAACGGGAAGTATAAACATACGATAGAGCCTTAATTTAATTTCAGGAAGATAGAAATTGTAAGAAATAAAGCCACAAATCTGGGCAGCTTTGGCTGTAATTCTGTCAGCGTGCGGTGAGAGATCAAGATTACTAGTGTAGCTTAAACCTAAATCCTTGATGGTGGTACATTCAGTCATAGGTGAGCCTTGAAAGATCACTGGTTGGGGTAGCCTATCAGGTCCAAAGCACATATAGCGACATTTGGACGGAGAGAATTCCATTAGCCATTTTGAGCTCCAAGCTGAGAGAGCAAGCAAGTCAGCATGGATTTGCTCCAGGCAATGAAGGCTCGTAGAGTTTTTGAAAGAATATACACATTTGAGATCATCGGCATAAATAAATAATTGAGAATGTTTAACTGCTGCTGAAATAGCATTTATGTAAAGCAAGAACAAAAGAGGACCTAAAACGGTACCTTGTAGGACACCGCTTGCAATAGGACTTTCACTGGAAAGTGAAGATCCCACCAAAACCTTTTGTTTACGATTAGACAGGTATGACCTGAGAAAGTCTATTAGTGGACTACGAATTCCCATAGCCTCCAATTTAAACAAGAATCTTTTATGTGGTACTTTATCAAAGGCTTTACTAAGATCAAAATAAATAACGACAACAGATAGGTGATCATTACGAAGAGAGGCAAGTAGATTGAGAAACGACAGATGGCATGTTTCACAAGAGCGATCTGGTAAAAAAAAACATGCTGGGGAGGGCTAAGAAATTGATTGGCTATGCAAAATTCGGTAATCTTTACGGCTGTAATTTTTTCAAAGATTTTGGCGAGAGAGGGTGTTTTATGGACACCTCGATAGTTCTGTACGTCAAAACGGCAGCCAGACTTAAATACTGGAATAATAATAGAAGTTTTCCAATAGTCAGGTAAGAAGTCACTTACGAGAAATACTGAAAAGATTTTGCTAAGCAGAGGAGGAAAATCTCTTAGCTGTTTTATCAAAGAGTTTGGGATATTGTCCGTACCTACTGAGTGAGAGTTATGAAGATGGCTTATCAGTTTTTGAATACATTCAGGAGAAAAATTAATGAAGCTAAGAGAAGCATCAGACAACGAAGGAATTAAAGGGATCGGATCAGTTTCAATGGTGAAATGTTTGGCAAAGAACGAATTTAAAATTTCAGCTTTGCCTGACTCCTCAGTAATGAAGGCATGGCTAGCACTAAGCAAGGGCGGAATGACTTGGTGGGACTTAGCAGATGATCTCTGACGGAAGATCTGAGCAACTGATTTAGAAGCATTCATGTCATTAATAGCTAAAGACTCTCTACGCCTACCTCGCTCGAGCCTAATTTTCGAAGCTAGTTCAAATATTTCAACGATTCTTAGATGAACTGATAATGAGCTCACAGAAGGATCTTTAAATTGCTTCCGTAACATTTTAAGTCTGTTTTTATGAAAGTGTGGGATATCGGCGAGAGTAATTTGACACGAATGGTTAGATTTGTGCTCATTGATGAGTCTTCTGGTTTTAGCGACCCTAAAGTCGAAAATACAACAGTAACGGAAATGAAGAACAACATCGGGGGACTGTTTACTTTTAGAAGCATTATTCAAAATATGGTTAAACTTCGCTTGTGCCTGAATTGGGTCTCAATAGCAACAAGGAATAT